GTTATATTTTTTAGATCATCCGAGTAGAAATTTATCCAGTTTCTGACTGGTTAGTAACTGTCCAGGAATTTTTGATAACTATCTAGTTTTTAGTCAGTTTTCTTGGTTAGAAACTGACTTGTTTGGTAGACGCTCACTTCGTCAAAAACTGGGCAATTTCAGATCAGTTTTTAACTAGATTTTGATCAGTATCTGTTTATTAGCAGCTTCTAAGCAGTTTTTTACTAGTTTCTATGAAGTTTTTACCTATTTTATAAGCATTTTTTATTTTATTTCTGATTAGTATCTATTTTTTTCAGTTTATTAATAGTTATAAATAATTTAACTATATATGTATCGAAACCATAATTTTATTAAAATTAAATTTTTATAATTTTCATTAAAAAAATATTTCTTCATCTTTAATATAATATTTTATTTTATTTTGGCCAGGAACTATCTCAAAAAAATTCATCAGTAATTTCTGATTTTTTGCTGAACAGAAAATGCACAGCACTTCCTTGCCATTTTTCTTGTATAGTTACTGACAAATAACTGGCCCAAAAATATTGAACAATATTTTCAGAGTTTTTACTGGGCAGAAACTATCCAATATTTACTTACTATTTTTCTCTTGCATAGTTTCTGATAAAAAACTATCCAAGAAATACTAAACAGTATTTTCAGAGTTTTTATTGGGCAGAAACTATCCAATATTTACTTACTATTTTTCTTACATAGTTTTTGACAAAAAAACTATCCAAGAAATACTGAACAGTATTTTCAGAGTTTTTAATGAACAGAAAGTGCCCAGTATTTACTTACTATTTTTTCAACTCTAGTTTCTGACTAGTAATTGGCCATGAAAAAATAGCCAGTATCTTCTGCCAAATTTTAAAACAGTAACTGTCTAATTAATCCTAGCCAGTAAAAACTGTCTAGTTACTAACCAATGAATACAAGTTAATCAGTTTTTCCCTGAGATGTTTCTACTTCCTCTTTCCCTATCCTTCACTTTACACGGAACATTTCGGATCGTCGTAGCCATTTCGTTAGTGGCAACTCGTCAGAGTGGGTTGGCTGCGTGCGCACAATTCGCAGTCGGTTGCTCCATGCGTTACCTTTGCCGGATTTTTGCAAAAATCATCTCGTAACAACCCGACCGTGTGCGCGAACGAGCCTTCCATCTTTCCGGCTGGCTCGCCAAGTGCGCAGTGATATTTTGCGAAATAAGCAAAAATCCTGCCGCGGAATATCGCGACTCCCCGACGACGGCGGCGGAGACGCGCCGGTGGAATTCGCCGCCGAATTCTTCTCGACTTTCGCACGAGGACGCGTCAATGCTGAGCCGATATCGCCAATTAAGCCAAGATTGTTTACTCGTGGCGCGTCACGAGGCGGTCCCGTATCTAGCCGATGCCTCCATGTAACAGACGGCGATTCTATGTAACAGACATGTACATACCTACGGTCAACCCAAATGGCGGATGTCACTCAGTCCGCCGCCGATCGCCGTACCGACCCACCGCTGCGGCAAGATTATCGCTTGTAATTCCGCCAGCAGCGTAGACACTCGGTGCTGCGTTAGCGTGTTATCCACCTCGGAAATTCGGGGAGTTGTGGAAAAACGTAGCGTGACGGGCAAGAACGGGCCAGCGAGATCCGGACGTTGCTTTCGCAGCGAACCATCGCGTTTAAATTGCATGCGTGTGGATTTTTGCAACATTTTGTACATCCCAGCTCGACAAGTGACGACGTCTGCCGTCGTGTGCTTGTACATTAGGTCATACTGAGCAGAAAAGTCCTGTGTCATGTTGCAAATAACCACGTAGATTTTTAATTATTGATCAAAGAAAACCGTTGCACGATTTTACGCGATAATGCAGCACTGTTTAAAATATAAAAATTATTTGTTTGGCGCTAATAACGCATATATATATTTATACATTCTTTTCTTAAACTAAATAAATAATTACTTTCGTGAAAAGTTTTAAAAAATGTATATTTTCTTATTTGAAAAATATTGTTTTATCAACTAAATTAATATTTTTTTCTCTCAGTGTAGATAATGCTTTCTGAGTTCTTTTAAAAAATATATAATTTTATGGGATGGAAACGATTATAATCTTATGGCGTAGAATCTCCTTTAATTAATAACTAAAAATCTACGTCGTCAAAATAGTAGAGAACTTTTTTGTTCAACTTGATTTAATATACAAGCACACGACGGCAGATGTCAACACTGCAATGTTTAAAATATAAAAAATATTTGTTCGGGGCTAATAACGTATTTATATTTATACATTCTTTTCTTAAACAGAATAAATAATTGCTATCGTGAAAAGTTTAAAATAATGTGTATTTTCTTATTTGAAAAATATTTTATTAACTAAATTAATATTTTTTCTCTCAGTGTAGATAATATTTTCTGGGTTCTTTAAAAAAATATATAATCTTATGGGCTGGAAACGACATTAACATCAAATAACATTATTTAGAGACTGCATATTTTTTATCAAAAATATACTATACATTACTGTTTGATATTACATTACCCGTGATATTATTAATGTTATATATTCGTTATTTTTTGTTTATTTATTAGTCATTATTTCGTATTCTGTTGTGCAAGTTTATGTTTTGCAAACGAAATGGAACGGTTGGAGTAATATACGCACAAATGAATAAATTTATTATGATACCGACCGTGTAAATTTTAAATCGTAATTCTCTTGGCAAAACACACGTGCTTTGTGTGTATCTTTTTAATATTTGCCACTACATTTTGTCGTTCCAAATCCTTAAACGACTTGATATTGAAAAAAATGTTATTTTGACTTTTCAATGAACAGCATGTCGCGACCGTGCCTTCGCGTTTATTTCGGCCGCAATCTCGCTTTTCGGAATCCGCCCAATTCTGGCTCAATTTCGCTAAAGTTTCCGCCGAATTTACGGTCGAGATCACGCCGTTACTTATTCGATTAAGCGTGGCAATTCCGTCGGCGGAAAATCGAGTTTTGTCAGTTCACGAACAGGTGATATTTATGACGGGATGAAAAATTGCGCGAGCGCCACGCGTTTTAAAGCCGCGACGCGGCTGCGGAGTATTTCGTGCCGGCGCATCTCGTCACCGTAATGTCAGTTTGTTCGTGATTTTATTTCTGACGCGCGATCGCGCGACGCCCGCCCGCCATTGGACGCGTCCCGGCCGAGATATATTCCGCTGGAATATAATCCGCTTAATGCGGCTATCTATTCATCTATCCGTTGATTCGCTTATCTCGTATCACTCGTAAAACCATTAATACGCGTGTGCAGGTATGCGTGCGGGTCTGCCCGCGGAAAAGTGAGGCACAGTCGGTGTCGCAAAATTGTCCGTTCCGCGCGAGCGTTTGCTGCACGCCGGTGTAATATTAATTGCAATTTCGCCGGTAATTGATGAAACTAGATTATCTGCCCGCCGTATCATCATCATTCAAATAAATAACATACACGCGTCCTCATTAATTTGTTAATGCGCAAAAATCACGCGACGTCACTCTTCATTATCCCCCGACGTGGAGAATAATTGAAATTTAGAAGTCAATATAAATTCATCCCAGGGAAAGATCGCTAATTGACACGGGGAGAATTTTGTGACAAAAATTTATCATGCTTCTGTGTGTTTCGTGTGTATCGAAATTCTTCAAAAATTCTCAGGAACCGAAGAGTCGAATGTTAAAATAATTTTAGCGTGTTCCTCAGAAAGACTTTAAATAGTCTGTTCTTGCGCTACCAGAAGATATTATAATTTTATAATTACACACACACACACATATATATATATAAAGAGAAAGAAAGAGAGAGAGAGAGAGAGAGAGAGAGAGAGAGAGAGAGAGAGAAAATATGATTTAAATAGAACCTCAATTTCGAAACGGCTGACCCATAGTGAGTAAAATTATAATGTTTTAAAAAGATCTGAGAAAGAGCCATAAAAACATGTAATAAAAATAGGAGATTCTATCTAAAAAAATTCAAGATGATCTTACCTTGACCTTGGCGGCGCCAAATCAAGGTAAGATCAAGTTGATAAAAGCAGTAAATAAATCTCTTTAAACTCTATCATAACTTTTATCGGAAATATTTTTTAATGAAAGTTATATTTCTCGAGATATTTTAAGGTTCCTTTTTTATACATTCTGTATATATACATATATATGTGTATGTATGTATATACAGGGTGGGGAAAAAAGGTCGGTATCCCTGAATAACTCGGAAAATATGTTTTATAGAAAAATGTTTCAAGCAAAAGTTGTAAAGTTTAAAAAGATGCATTCAATGGTACTTTCTTGCATTTTCTTGAAGTACTAAAAAGTTTATAAAAAATCCTGAAAAAATTCCCCAGAGCTCTATGAAAAGAAAATAAACAATTTTTATCTTTTGCTATTTTTCGATAAAGTTGATAGAATTCAAATAAAAAATTATTGAAATCAATAATTTTGTAGATATTTCCGTAAATATCTTAGAAAATAGAGATCGTTTTTGAAACAAAAGTTGTTTGCTTCTTTATGTAAAATAAAATTCCGTAATAAAAAAATACATGTTTCTATTTAAAAAAGCAAAGTTGACCTCGACCTGAACTTGGCGGCGCAACCCAAGCTCAAATAAATATTATCATTGAATGTATCTTTTTAAACCTCACAACTTTTGTCTGGAACATTTTTCTATAAAACTTATATTTTCCGAGTTATTCAGGGATACCAACCTTTTTTCCCACCCTGTATATGAAAAAAAGCTATATAATATTCTTTTCACATGGAGTTAATGTCAGACTCCCGTTTATGTGTCGGACGAGAAACTCACAGACGATAATCGCGAGCGAACAATTAATTAAGCGATGACGTAAGCGATGATACATTTGTGTAATCGCGAATCCGATGATAGTCCGCATCGAAGTCGAGCGTTATCTCGTTCGATCCAGTCTCCCGATTGGCCAATCGCAAACTCCATCGATTATCACCACCGTCTTCCTATGCTTGCAGGTTACCGAGGAAGCGAGCAACTCTGCTGGCGATTTGTCTTCTGGTCACTAGCACGGGTAAGTGTCTTCCACGTAACACCACCGCTGCCGTTCGTTTCAGGCATCGCGCCGAATTTATACAGTCGTATGTCTTATCGCGGGAATCGTGGTTTAACCACGGTGATGTTTCGTTCGGGCCCGTTCCGTTTCGTTTGTTCGTTCCGTTCTTTTCAGCCGTTGACTCGTGTTAACAGTCGGTACTCGGAACTTGTCTTACGTGAGATATTTAGATTCGAGTTTAAAGTCAGCTATGAGTTCTCTCATAAAATCTTCAATTGAAATTGCTGATGTCACATGTATCGTGTGATTCAACTAAAAAGCTCAAATCCAACTTTGAGGCCTATATTAAAAGTCGTTACTCGAAACCCAGGTGTGATGCTTGATTTGAATAAAGAGTAGGCGCAAGTTTTCATGACTGAATCGCCATTACAAATGCAATGTCTCGTGTATTATATGACTGAAATAAAAAACTTAAATCTAACTCTAAGGCTCACACAGGACAACTCTAATAGTTGTCACCTGAAACTCGTCTCATGCGAGTACTCAACTTTTTATTCCGAGTTTCATCCAAGTTTTGCAATTGAATTATGATATACGTAACATTTATATCCGCAATCGCGATTCGACTGAACAACTCTCATCTAACTCTGAATTCAAATCTGAGGATCTTAGTTGAGACGAGTTTTATATAATAACTATAGATAGAATCCACTTGAAACTGCAAACGCTTCGGGGTGCTTAAAGAAAGATTATGATTGGTCTACGCGGCACTTCGAAGCATTTGCGGCGCCAAGCAGATCGTACTCTGTTAATATGAGCTTACATTCACAGACCTAAGTATCTCGCGTGAGACAAGCTTCGAGCGATATTAATAAGGACGTTGTGCACATAGACCGCGCCTTCTCATAAGAAGACTAAAGGCAAGCTTGAATGATAGCTGTATTCAGCTTCCACTGTGCACAGGCACGCCGACTTCGTCTAGCTCTCTCCAACAACAGAAGTTAATCTAGACAAAGATAGAATGCCTGCAATAGCAGGACATCCTTTTCTACACTAAGAGAAAAGATGGTCAGTCCAAGTAGAATTATGATCGTTCTTGGCCATATTTTTTGGTTCCAACACGAAAATGGTAACATGCATACGAGCTTACTGTCGCTATACATTATAACAAGTTAATAAACATAATAAATGCTTTTACAATGATTATTTCTCCATGTGATTACAATTATATTTTTTTTTCTCAGTGTAATCAAATCTCCGCGGCTTTTCGTGGAACGAAACTCACTTTCGGCATATACAAGTCTATACGGAAAAAAAGCTTTAGTCGAATTAACCAAATATCTGGTCGAATATGAACGATCCAGAAATTCCGATTGAAGTAACCCAAATTCTCTTTAAGTTAACAAGATTTTTGGTTGACTTAAACAGAATTCGGGTTACTTCAATCGGAATTTCTGGATCGTTCATATTCGGCCAGATATTTGGTTAATTCAACTAAACTTTTTTTTCCGTGTATGGATTTTACTTGCTAAAATACGTTCCATCGCGATTCCCCAGAACCGCACCTGACGTCTCCTCTGTCGCTGAAGAGAATTTTATTTGATTCTAGTGTTAGGTAGTTTCACCAGAGTCGCGGCGCGCGGAGTTACGGTATTCCTCCGCTTTTGGTGGCCGTGCGCTCGTTTAAATTCCCGCGGCAAAGTGCCATCACGTAAAGTAGCAGGTAGCAGTTTGCGTGAAACGAGAGAGAGAGAATGAGAGAGCACATTTCGTGCTGTTTCGAGAAAAAACCGTCGTTTGGAGAGAAATTGCTTATTTTCCGCGCAAACAAAATGTCTCTCACGTAACGACTTTACGTAAACATTTGCGAGCTTGCAGACATCGCTTTACGCGGCCGCAACGAAATCTATTAACGACGAGACGCGGATCGCGAAATATTGTCCATATTTGACTTCGCGTCATCTCCGGCGCGACCGGCAATAACCGAGTCGTGATGCGCGCACGAAATGAAAAATGAATCGGTCGGTAAATCTGTGCAAAACTTGCCGGACGAGAGCAGGTATTGCGGACGGAGCGGGGTCCGCACGTGCAGCAAGAAAAAAACAAGAAAAGCGGCGGTTATATGTGAAAGCAATTGTTCCGTGCATGGAACAACATTCACGAAAGCGACTCTCGTCGCTCGTGTTATTGTAAATCACGTCGCTGGAGTTACACGCTCGAGCGAAGGGACGGCGATTTAGATATCTCGTTGTCGTGGACGTGATCGAAGCGGCGAGAGTATCCTGGCAATACGCAACGGGGCGGTCGGGCGCCGCGGGGGTGCACAGAGACGGAGGAAAGGCGTTTCCTCCTTCCGGCGAGGAACAGGAAGCTTCTAGCGAACTACCTCTCCACTCTGTCGCTGCCTTTCTCTCTCCTACGCCGTTTTTCCCCCGTTTCCTATCCGTCTTGCCTTTTCTCCTTCTTCTCCCTCCCCTCCTCCCCTCTCTTCCTCCCTTCCTCCCTTCATCTTCGTATCTCGACGAACCCGAGAAATGGTTTCTCGCAAAGGAAACGCGGCGCAGCTTTTCCTTTTCTAACGTCTTTTCATCATTTCCCCTCTCCGACTCTCCTTTCCTCCTCTCTCTCTCTCTCTCTCTCTCTCTCTCTCTAGGTTACAAATATATATTGCGACTAACGCTGATTGCGGGTAATTTAGCAAAGCACCGCGCGCTTATTTCACCGGCTTCGCGGGAACTCGACATCTGTGTTTCTCTCCCAGTCATCTTTAGTTTATCTGCTAAATTTCTAGATATTACATTTAACTTCATTACGTTGCGCGCGTATATACACACATTCTCTTCCCTCTCTAGTTTATTTTTATTAGACGCTTGTTCATGGCCCGTTTCTCGCGTCATTTCGCGTAATTATTTCCATTTACCGTTCGACTAATTTGTTCAAGAGAAACTTACTTAGTCCCGTAATGTAAAATGAATGATGCCTCTTTTTTTTTATTCCTCTCCTCTTACTTCCAGGATGTAATGGGATTCATTCAGCACTTGCTCATTCACTTCTTCGCTCACTCATATAACATTTCCGTATGTATTCTCCTTTTATAACTCCCGCTTTTACTCTCTATATTTCTTCCCCGCTTTTCCACATTTCTCTTTTTCTAACTCTCCTTTTCTTTCTCTCTTACACACACACACACGCACACACACACACACACACACACACATGCCTCTTTTCCTCTTCATCTAACATACGCTGCTCGTCGTAAATCCATTACTTCCTCCTCGTTTCTCACTTCTTCTGTCTTTTACTCGTCGGCGGCCAGGTATTTATTATTTGCGCGCGTTCTACGTTTACATTTTTAAGACATTATTCTGACTCTATTAACAGCTACCGTTTGCCCCAACGTTCACGAGTCCGCCAGCTCGTCGCTCGAGGCGGTGAGGTTTCTTCGCGAAAGAATTGCCATTGCTGGCTCGATAATTTATGCTAAACGCGTTTGCCTTTACAGTCAATAGCTTACTTATCTTGAGAAAAATATTGGCAGTAATTTTCTAATTTAATTCTTAATTTTTCTTATTTTCTCTTGCTGAGATCATTGTTCGGATCAAGTTTTTGGAATATCTCGTCATCTCACTATTAAAATAGCACAAAATTTAAAAAATAAAATAACGAGATTCGAAAGGTTGAATATATATATATATATATATATATATATATATATATATATAAGATTAGACTATATGAAAACGCTCCATGTATCCAGCGTACAGTCAGTTACTTAAAAGTTACAACACTTTTATCGGGATGAATTTTGCAACGCGTCCCGTATCCGATAGGAGAATGTATCTCCTGAGAATTATTGAAAGCTAAATTCTCTCTCCTATCAAACGCGTTGCGAAACTCATCGAGGCAAAAGTTTTGCAATCAGAGTTAGGCATTTACGCGTAAATTGTGATACTCTGTTTATGTGTGCCGGCAACGTAAACTGTGTATGAAATGTCGTCTATGTAGACAATGAGTAATCTATGGATGTCGTACGTGTGGCTTGCTCGAGAATTAATGAAGAAAAGTTTCCAATTTTATTTAACTTTGAGAACTCTGATGTCAATCTATAAACATTTATCAAACGAGTCCACAGAATTCTCTGGTTATATTTTTACTTTCAGAGTTCAATCTGTCACATAATAAAGTGAAAATATCATTTCACTTGTTGCCTTTTCTAAACGTTACATTTACAATTAATATCAAAAAATAGATATGATAACTTTCTCATAATTTAACTACTATTTCTATATTTTAATTACTGTATTTTTTACTTAAATCTACATTCTCTTTATTTAAACCAAATATTGTTTATTTAAATCAGATAAACAATATTTAATTTAAATAAAGAGAATTTAGGTTGAAGTAAATATGTTAATGGCACTCATCAAAGAAATATTTTTTAATTTTAATATAATTTTTCTCTCAGTGTAGTCTCTTCATATTATTTATACATGAAAAAAATTTTATTATATTAACATAAAGTTCTAATGAACGAATCAACACGTTTTTATTGAGGAACATAGAATTACTGTAGCTTTTATAAACTAAATCTGGTTCTGAGAGTCAGAAATTCCGTTTTCTTCAACCAGAACGCGTTGATTTCGTTCATTCTAACCACCACTAACTTCCTGTTGATACAACCAAACTTTGTGTGTGTATTCATCACGTAGATAATAGGTACACAATCCACGCAATCCTGAAATCTACGCCACAGCCATGGCTGCAACCTTTAAATATCTGATTATACACGCGTCATCGAGTCTCTCAGTGTCGAAGGGATTAACTGTCGCGCCATTCCGCGCGCTTCCCGTAAGTATCTACGTACCGAGAAGGGGATTTATTACCTCGTGCCGAGGAAAAGGAGGTGAAACTTTCTGGCTTTTGCACGAAATTCCCTCGCATGATTCCTCTTCAGGCTGCTCCGCAGTTTCCGCATCGTTGACTACCGGAACGAGTCGCGAGGAAGTACTTTGGAATCC